GCAGGCCAGCCATAGAAAGGAATGTTAAGGGGCTTCCAATCAAACTTCAGGCAGTGGATAGAATCAGACAAGATCATTAAAAGGCTGTAAGTTTACAAATTCAAATTGCTGGCTTGAACAGCTTTGCCGTCCAAAGTATTTTGATGGAAGGATGTGCAATGTTTATAGTTTTACATTGTCTTTATTGCCTTCAGCCACTCTCTCTTTCAACACATTAATCTTCAGCTCTTCATTGCTCTTCATTCTTCTTTGCTGTGGGAGCACAAAGCAAACTATTCTGCTGTTCTCATCTGGAATTTGTTTTCCATTATAATTTCAAGAGGTGCGCTGAAGTGCCTACTTCAAATCTCACAGTTAATATATAATATAAGTTGCCAAGCTATTTGTTGATTAAATGAAAATCAGACTTGATAACATATGAAATCTTCCTAGTGGATGTGTTTCACTTATGGAGATGAGCACAAAACTCATTTAGGGCCCAAACTGTGAACACAGGTGCCTATAGTTAGATACCTTAGGTAGCTGAAGCAGATATGTAGGTAAAAATATGAATATTTGGGGCCAGATTCTCAGCAGGTGTTAATCAGCACAGGTCCATTGACATCAATAGTTATGTTGATTTACACAGGCCGAGAATCTGTCTCCTAGATTTTCTGAAGTGCTAGGCAACCCCATGTTACACTGATGTCAAGGTTCACTGAAGTTTCTCAGCATGTCTGAACAGCAGGACACTTATTTAGGTGCCTGCCACATAGTTAGACAACCAAGTTTGAAAACTGAACTCTTATGCCCAGATCTGCAAAGATATTTAGACACTAACTTCCATTGAAGTTAATGGGAGATAGGCATCTAAATACTTTTGCGGCTCTGAGTCTTAATGGATAGAGTGTCAAACATGGGAGTCTGGGTGTGGGTGGAGAAGATATGTTATCTATCTTACTCACAGGCTGGATGTATCTTGGGTATCAACAGTACAGGGAGCACTATCTCACAGTGAGTGAGAGGCAAAAACTCAGCAATTAATACACTTTTCGGACAACACTAATGCATCATTTCTGAATGTACCAGTTTCCGGAAGTAGACATTTATAAGATGATGGACTAATAGGAAGCTGGCCCCCCAAATTCAGAGTCATCTCAGGGAATGGAGATGGAGGTAGGTGGGATTTGGCACAGTATGCTCACCTGTGTTGCCCTTTCTTTCCTAAAGTTTCTTTTTAAAATGCACATGTATGTTTTATGTAATAGCGTGAGGTGCATATCTTGTTTTGTCTGAAACTGCTTCCTTTTTAAAACTTGCACCCTACCAAAAAGTAATGGGCAGACATTAATTTCAAGCACTCATGTGCCGGGGATAATCTTTTGTTTATTGTTTTAAATTCTTTTTATTGTATTTGGCAATTTTACACAATCCAGGCACTGAGAAAAGAAACCCCACATTTCCAAAACAAACAGAAATTATAGTTGCATGGTAACTAACCCACATACTAAGCACTAGAAATATAAGATCCAGAGAGCTCAAAGTATCAGAGTGATTCAAAATGATCTCTTCATATGATGATAACTCTGCAGGGGGAAATATAACTACTAGACCACACTAAGCCATCTTAGCAAAGTTGGGGCCAAATTCTCTTCTGGTATTGAAGTCAGTGAAGTTATGCCAGCAGAGAATTTGCCCCCTGGTCTTCCTAAATCAGTAAGTTATACTTTATCCCGGTGCTAAATGCTGAAGATCCAGAGTGTCGTGGTGGGAGGGGGCAGTACAGAGGAGGCAGCTGGGCCCCTCTGGATTTTCTGTCCTCCTCAAACCAGGGGAAGAAATCAGTAGAAGATAATAGAGCTTGAGTCTCATTAACTTCTTTTAGGATTGCCATCCCACCTTACGGTGGGAGTTGCAAGCGTAGCTGCTGGTAGAGGTGTCCCTGGCAACATGGTAATCTACTGGAGCCCCATTGTTAAAGAAGTGCAGGGAAGTCCTGGGTCTAATATAAAGGCCTGGCCTGGGACCCTTGTATCGATGACCACACTAACCTATGGATCCCAGAGATCTGTACAGTTTACTTTCCCCTTTGAACAAGGGGAGAAACAGGGATCAAAATGTAACTCTTAGTCACAATTCACTCCCTGATCTACTCTTGGGCAGAACAACTATGTAATGTCCTTGTTCAGAGCGTATTGCTACTCCACAGTCAAACCCTCAGACATCAGTAATTTCCTCAGTCAGCGTCAGAGCTTGGATTCAGATGCTCCAAGTGTAATTCACTGGATGATAGCGTTTCTCTGCTCTATCACTTCAATGTGTCACAAAAACCTAGTGTTTGATCTAATGTCTAGTTATGAAACCAAGTAAAGCACCTGGAATGATGCAGGGCCTGAATTAAGCTGTGTATCTAACTCAGTATGGGCTGCCTACTCTTTACATGTAACCATTTTAAGATTCCACATTACTATCTCCAGACACTATCAAACGTCAGGTCCTCATCATACTTGTCATAAATCTTTCAGAGCTGGGATTGAAGACAGGAATGGCATGTATAACGTTAGCCAAGAGGGCTCCTCCCTGCTTCCTAGAAGTGTCTCATATCTGGGGTTCAGTGAGCTATAAGGTCATGATAGTGGACAGCTACATCTGAATGGATGGGGTCATTTTTTGCCTTAGCTACAATTATTTTCAGTCAGTCTGTCCTAGGCTTACGGGACAGCACAAAAGAAGGTACAAAGTCTGGAGTGAGCCAAGTAGGTGAAGACAGTGTAATACAGAAAGTCTGAATGGACTGTAACAAGCAGAAGGGACTGTAGGGGAAGGATGGGAAGGGATATGCGGCAGGAGTTATGGAGACTGTTGAAAGTGAGGAGTAGAAAACTGAATGGGATATGGAAGAAAATGGGGAGCCAGTGAAGGTGGGGAGAGGAGAGATTATCTCTGCAGACGTATTTTGAATTCTGTGCAGAGAAGGGGGAAGAGAGAAATCCAGGAAAGGGGAGGCTACAGTAGTCTGCATTGGAAATTATCACAGCAAGGATGTTCATCTTGGCAGGGGGGGTGATGAGGAAAGGACTAATTTTGTAAATATTGTAGAGAAAGCAGCAGCAGGGTTTGGCAAGGCCCTGGAAGAGAGGAATCAAAGGTGACAACAAGGTTGTGAGCCTGAGAGGACAAAGAAATTGACTCAGTCTCCAAAAATTCCAAATCTTGATTATCCAGCTGTCAGTCCTGCCCCTTTAATTAATTAATTGATTCATGACAATAAAGCACTTAATCTTTGCATTTACACATCAGGCCTCCCACTAATAAGCAATGTCTGAAGGCTCTCATCATAAGGTTCCGTCCTAGACAAATTCATGTTGGCTCCCAAACGTATTACTTTGTAAATCGGAAATGACAATGTTGGCTCTGTGCTCTGGTATTGTAGCAGCATTACCATATGTCAGTATCATGCTAAACATAGTAAGTAGGTGACACAACACTATAATTACTGAGGACATCTGTCAGGAGCATAGGCTATCTCTGGGATTAGTATTTATAATGCTACAAAGACCTATAGGAGAGAGAGAGAGGAAGGAAAGTCCCTTTACATTGGCTGGGATTTTCAGACTCTGGGCCAGATTTCACCTTGTGTAAATTGACACAGCTTGATAGAAGTCCATGAGGCTATGCCAATTCAAACCAGCTGAGGACCTGGCTCAATGTCTAGAAGTAAAGCCATGATTAAGAACCACACAACCACTGTCGGCAGAGGAGTCTGTCTCACCTGAGAATAGAGCTGGGTCAGGATAAATTGATTTTTCAGTTTGGTGGCTGAAGTACTCCTCGGTGTTAATACAAAACAAATTCATTTCAAACGTTTTATTTCACTGTTTTTTTAAACCCGATTTTGAGTTAAATCAAGCTAAAATTCTAAATGAAACATTGTTTCAAAACCAAAAGTCAAAATGTTTAGACTTTTAAACTTCTTTCCCCAAATATTTTGATTGAAATGTATTTATCAAATTCAACCCCAAATTTGTGAACAGTTTCAGTTGACCCGAAACTGCATTGTCACCCAGATCTACCTGCGAATAACCTAAAGGCATAGCTCAAGAAGGGGCAGTGCAAGTTGCTTCCTATGCTATCCAATAAATATGCCTCCCCCTGTGTACTAGATAGACCTACATCTAGGGAAAGCAAGGTTAATCCCACTCAATAAACATTTTTCTCAGGAATGTCACATTAAAAAAAAAGCTTTTCACACATGTACACAGCAAATAATGGAACATAATATCTTCACACTTAACTTGGGTTTCCATTTGGGGAGGGTGGGAGATGAGGTCATACACAACTATAGATTTTCCTACCTTGTTCTGAAAGAAAAGATTCCTTTGAATGCTAAACCTCTAGCTTTTTATTTAATCAAAAATCACAGTGAAATGCCATGGAATTAACATCAGATAGGTTCTTTTCTAAACAATGTGGGAATCCTTCGGAATGCGTCCATATTAAGAATTTCAGGGAAGCAGAGTGGCACATAAAATTGCCATCGGTCCAAGGTTAGCAAATTAGGTTAGCACCACTAGGGATGAGAAAATGGTTTCTGAGGAAACACGACCTGATCCAAACCTTCAACTGGAAGTGAACCAACAGAAACATTTATTTATTACAAAGACCATTTCCTTTGTATGGTTCTGTCCCACCGTCTATTCGAGCTGAGCCAGGAGGAATGGGAAGTATGAAAATTAGGGATGGGCAAACTGGATCTTAAAGTTGCTGACTAGCACAAATACCAAGTGCTATTCAATCAGCTGGATATTGCCTGCATCTCATTTGAGTGATAGAGATTGAAGCTGATGAATATTCATTTGCTGCATCATGCTGCTGTCAGCAGCAGATTCTGCTGTGTCTGGCTTGTGTTGCTAGAATCTCCCCATGCCTCTGACCATATGGGGGAGCACGAATGATTGTCCTCAGCCTAGTTTTCACAATGAATAAGTCATTGATTTTAATTTTTGTTTCTGTCATAAATATAAAGGGAAGGGTAAACCCCTTTGAAATCCCTCCTGGCCAGGGGAAAGCTCCTCTCACCTGTAAAGGGTTAAGAAGCTAAAGGTAACCTCGCTGGCACCTGACCAAAATGACCAATGAGGAGACAAGATACTTTCAAAAGCTGGGAGGAGGGAGAGAAACAAAGGGTCTGTGTCTGTCTGTAGTCGTCTTGGCCGGGGATAGACCAGGAATGGAGTCTTAGAACTTTTAGTAAGTAATCTAGCTAGGTATGTGTTAGATTATGATTTCTTTAAATAGCTGAGAAAAGCATTGTGCTGAATAGAATAACTATTTCTGTCTGTGTATCTTTTTTGTAACTTAAGGTTTTGCCTAGAGGGGTTCTCTATGTTTTTGAATCTAATTACCCCGTAAGATATCTACCATCCTGATTTTACAGGGGGGATTTCTTTATTTCTATTTACTTCTATTTTTTATTAAAAGTCTTCTTGTAAAAAACTGAATGCTTTTTCATTGTTCTCAGATCCAAGGGTTTGGGTCTGTGGTCACCTATACAAATTGGTGAGGCTTTTTATCCAACATTTCCCAGGAAAGGGGGGGTGCAAGTGTTGGGAGGATTGTTCATTGTTCTTAAGATCCAAGGGTCTGGGTCTGTAGTCACCTAGGCAAATTGGTGAGGCTTTTTACCAAACCTTGTCCAGGAAGTGGGGTGCAGGGTTTTGGGAAGTATTTTGGGGGGAAAGACGCGTCCAAACAGCTCTTCCCCAGTAACCAGTATTAGTTTGGTGGTGGTAGCGGCCAGTCCAAGGACAACGGGGGGAATATTTTGTACCTTGGGGAAGTTTTGACCTAAGCTGGTAAAGATAAGCTTAGGAGGTTTTTTTCATGCAGGTCCCCACATCTGTACCCTAGAGTTCAGAGTGGGGGAGGAACCTTGACAATTTCAAACACCAAAAGGGTCTGATCCACTTAAACCCAGGGCCTGATCTTGCAAACATTGGGTAGCTTTACTTGCATGACTAGCCCCACTCCTGAGTAGTTGACTTCAGTGGGACTACTCATGTGTGCAACCCTACTCCCATGAGTAAGAATTTGCAGGATCAGACCCCAAAGGAGACTACTATGGGACGCATCCTCTGTCCTGGTCGGGATTTCACCTTGAGAGCACCAAGAAAGCACTTGGATACAGAAAGCTACCTTATTTAATTCTAGAAATAACCAATATTTTTGAAAAAAGAAAAGGAGTACTTGTGGCACCTTAGAGACTAACCAATTTATTTGAGCTCAAATAAATTGGTTAGTCTCTAAGGTGCCACAAGTACTCCTTTTCTTTTTGCGAATACAGACTAACACGGCTGTTACTCTGAAACCTGTCAATATTTTTGAAAACATGTAAATGCAGAATGAAGAAATCACTGCTTGGCTGATTGCATGTCCATAGAGAATTTTGATGATCAAGTTGTAAATATCCTGTGAATATAAAGAACCTATCACAGAAATGGTGATGGAACTTTAACGTGAATAACAGTGACACTGGGGGAGTGTTTTAGTAGACAGAGCTCATAAGAAAATCAGGCTTAGCGAGAACTAAGGCCTAGATTTAGGTGCCTAAACCTCAAACTTAGTTATTATTTAAGTTACAAGGGAGGTCCTCCTCCTCCTTCCCCCATTACCCCTTATGCTTTCTTGCAAAAAACACCCTGAGCATCTAACTCCAAAGAGGGTTCATAGCTGTGAATCAGTACCAGAATAGAAATCTCCTGTGCAGAAGAGCTTTTGGCTAGTGTACTGGCTTTTGTGAATTGCAATCTAAGGTGCCTATGTCTTCCTTGTCATCGTACAGGGAGCCTCAGTGACTAACTTAGGCTTTATGGATCGCAGTGTTGTTCCTGTGATTTACTAGGCAGCTAAAAGTTAGACATTGTGATGCTCAGCATCACAATACAAAAGTACATTCGTGAATCTACGACTGTGTGCCTCCTGGGCCAATCTTGTCTAGCTTACTAACAAGTTCACTACAAAAATGAGGAGCCCCAGTTTCCCATGCTTAACTATATTTGAGTGCTCTGTGGACTGTTGGCGTAGTGTAAGTGTAATAGGTCTCTGGATATAAATTACTGGACCCATATGACTTGTCTCTGTTTGCAACATTAGAGCCTTTAAATCAGAGGTGGGCAAACTACAGCCCGCGGGCCATATCTGGCCCAAGGGACTGTCCTGCCTGGCCCCTGAGCTCCTGGCCCGGGAGGCTAGACCTCGGTCTCTCCCCTGCTGTCCCCTCTCCTCCGCAGTCATGCCGCCACACAGGCAGTGCTCTGAGCGGTGGAACTACACGCTCCTGAGGGCAGCATGGCAGTGTGTGTGGCTCTGGCTGGGCAGCGGGGCTGCCAGACATGCTGCTCTGAGCAGCATGGTAAGGGGGCCGGGGCTGGGAGGTTGGATAAGGGGCAGGGGATCCCAGGGGGCAGTCAGGGGACAGGGAACAGGGGGGTTGGATAAGCATGGGAGTCCAGGGGGGCCTGTCAGGGGGCATGGGTGTAGGTAGGGGTTGGGATAGTCAGGGAGCAGGGGGCTGGGGCATTGGATAGGGGGTGGGAGTCCCGGGGGGCCTGTCAGCGGGCGGGGGGTCCCGGGAGGAAGCGGTCAGGGGACAAGGAGCAGGGGGGGTTAGATGGGTCGGGGGTTCTGAGCGGGGCAGTCAGGGGGCGGGAAGTGGGAAGGGTCGGATAGGGGGCAGGGGCCAGGCTGTTTGGGGAGGCAAAGCCTTCCCTACCCGATCCTCCATACAGTTTTGCAACCCCGATGTGGCCCTCAGGCCAAAAAGTTTGCACATCTCTGCTTTAAACGCATACACTTGGTGTGCAGCATATTTAATTTTTTAACTAGCTAATGCCTGTTCTTTAAGGAGAGTCTCACCATATGCAAACCAGTTATATAAACTGGAGCTTGTCACATCTGCTCACCTAGTCAGAGCATTCACGTAATCTGCAATTCTTCATATCTCCCTACTATTTTATTAATGGAACAGTGCTGTTCCTGTCAAACATTCTTTCCAAAATATTTCCTTGCAGGGTTAGGATCTGAATAACCCAGTGTTGAGTTATGACTCTTGAGCAGGTTTATTTTCCTGTCTGATTTTCGATAAGATAAATACTGTAGCTACTATAAATTCTGTAATTATCCCATTGCACTTGATTTTGAGACTTGGCATATGGGGGTTCCAACAGGAGATGAAGGGGAAGGAGTTGTCTTTTAGGTAAAGCTGCTTCATGGGCACTCTGAAAGCCCCAGGACAGAGGCCTCTGCTTCCCCATTCCTACAGGGGGAAGGGCATATGAACAATAGAGCTGAACATATTATTTTTGCCAAAACATTTAATCACACTGCAACTCTTTCAACTGATCCTAATAGCATAATATTGTTTCCTTTACCCCTTTTGACCCAAGCAATTGGCCAATATTTGGTATCACTGAAGGCGGTTGAGAAACTGATGATAGAGTCAGGTATTTCTTTGATGCAATACTGTTTATTTACAAAGAAGGCACCAAGTCCTGTTTCCCTGAACGGAGTAAGAATCCAAACAGCAGGAGACAGTTTCTTTGTACATAGTTCTGGGACTCTTTCCAGCCAGCACTCTACCCAGAAGCTCTCTTGCTCAGCTCTTTTCTCAGGGCAAACGCTTCCCTGGGTCTTCCTTGATTCTTTCACTGTGTGCTTCAGTAGTGTTTGTATGCCTTCTGTTTCACAGACACACAGCTCCATCAAACATTACAAAGCCCCGTGTATTTGCAGGCAGACCCCAGATTTCATGGCTCAACTCATACTCCAGTCTTGCATGTGGCTTGTGATTTGGGTGGTGGCTCTTATTTTGTGAGCTAACTATTTTATAAAGGAGCTTAATTGTCTTTTTACATTTATCTGGAAGGAAGAGCAGCTGGTATGCACAGTGATTTTAATGAGGTTTAACCCAATTCCCAACAATATTAAGGAAATGTTCATAAAAACATGTCTTAATGGTATTTATAGATGTATTTTTAAAAAAAATCAAGGGCCCAATCCCCCTGTTGTTTACACTTGTGTAAATCAGGACTAACTCCACTGAAATCAACAGAGCTACATTGATGTAAAACTGGTGTAAGTGAATACAGAATCTGGCCCAACTGATTCCTTTATTTGTGATGAGATTAATTTTACTATTTGTGACTAGGCCTTTCAAAGAAACCGTCCCAGTCACTCGTCGATTCAGGTCCTTATATCTCTCTCATCATGGCAGAATTAGGGCATCTTCCAGTAGTTCATTAAGGGGGGAAACTAACATCCATCATATCTTTGTTCTCTAATCCTTTCCCCAGGGAGAGAAGTGTATGCAGGAGAATGTTTTGTTTTGGAATTAAAAAATAAATATGTATGTACACACCCACACACATACACATGCACAAGTTGCTGTATGTTTTTGTTAGGGAAGGCAATATCAGAGCAACGTCCCTGGCACTTGGAGTGGAAGGTGGTGAGGTTTGTGATACTCTTTCATTTCTGTTGGCGTTTGTTCCATAGTCCAGTGCCTGCCCCCCAAGAAGTCCTGTCTTCTGCACAGCTGAGCTTTACTGATGGAGTTTGAGTGTCTTTAAAGATCACAGCTACTTTTGTGAAATTCTTAATGCCATTCTCCAATTTTTGCTTTTCTTCTTGTGATGCTATTAGACAGGTGTTGCCTTTACTTCTTTTTCAGACTACATGAAGTCATTTTTAACTTTCCATTTCCTGCCTGTAAGTTTAATTGAAACCGCTTGATGTAACATCAGTGCAAATTTCAGAATTTAATATTATGCTGAGTCGTTATGGGGTTAGTTCAAAGCAGCCACTGTACAATACTATTATTTGCTACCTCATAAATAGGGACGATGTGCTCAGGAGGCACCACTCTGTTTTTTACAGATGTTGTAAACTAGCCTTTCAAAGGTATTAGGCAGTGAGAAGAAATGAAAGCAATTTTACATGGCAGGGGAGGAAACAACTCAGAAAACAGGATATGTGAGAAAACTTAGCATAAAGTAAAAGGAAATACATTGAAAAATTGGTCCTTAAAAAACAGAACATGCTAAATGTGAAACACAGAGCAACTATGGTAAAACTCATACGAAAGCAAAGTATAATTACAAGGTATAGAATTTTCACAATAGAAATGTTTTGACTGGTTAAAATGTCTGCCTCACTTATTACTATGATTAATATTTCAAAGTGCCATAGAACAG